TTTTCTTTCGCCCTCTGTTTGCCTTCCAGCGTGGTTTTAGTAGACTGGACTTCTACATAGAGTGGTTCTGCCGACAAGCACGGGCTGAAATTGTGGAAAAGCAGCATCACTTGCCCCATAACCTCAGCCATGCAGAACACAATGCCATCCGCAGCCTCAGAAACAACTCTGACATCATAATCAAAGAGGTTGACAAAGGAGGTGCTGTCATCATCATGAATAAGAATGTGAATTCTTATTGGAATATGAATAAGAGGCTAGGCAGCTCTCTAACACCACATTCTACAAGCCATTACCCTCTGATCCCAAAGGGTTACCGAAAGAAACTACACCATCTGCTCAAGAAACTCCCTGAAAAAGTACAAGAACAAATCTGCACATACACACCCCCTAGAACTCCAACCAGGGGTATTCTATCTGCTACCCAAGATCCATAAACCTGGAAATCCTGGACACCCCATCATCTCAGGCATTGGCACCCTGACAGCAGGACTGTCTGGCTATGTAGACTCTCTCCTCAGGCCCTACGCTACCAGCACTCCTAGCTATCTTCAAGACACCACTGACTTCCTGAGGAAACTACAATCCATTGGTGATCTTCCAGAAAACACCATCCTGGCCACTATGGATGTAGAAGCCCTCTACACCAACATTCCACACAAAATTGGACTACAAGCCGTCAGGAACAGTATCCCCGATAATGTCACGGCAAAGCTGGTGGCTGAACTTTGTGACTTTGTCCTTACCCATAACTATTTCACATTTGGGGACAATGTATACCTTTAAATCAGTGGCACTGCGATGGGTACCCGCATGGCCCCACAGTATGCCAACATTTTTATGGCTGACTTAGAACAACGCTTCCTCAGCTCTCGTCCCCTAATGCCCCTACTCTGCTTGCGCTACATTGATGACATCTTCATCATCTGGACCCATGGAAAAGAAGCCCTTCAGGAATTCCACCACGATTTACACAATTTCCATCCCACCATCAACCTCAGCCTGGACCAGTCCACACAAGAGATCCACTTCCTGGACACTACAGTGCTAATAAGCGATGGTCACATAAACACCACCCTATACCGGAAACCTACTGACCGCTATTCCTACCTACATACCTCCAGCTTTCACCCAGACCACACCACACGATCCATCGTCTACAGCCAAGCTCTAAGATATAACCGCATTTGCTCCAAACCCTCAGACAAAGACGAACACCTACAAGATCTCTATCTAGCATTCTTACAACTACAATACCCACCTGCTGAAGTGAAGAAACAGACTGATCCAGAAGAGTAACCAGAAGTCACCTACTACAGGACAGGCCCAACAAAGAAAGTAACAGAATGCCACTAGCCGTCACCTTCAGCCCTCAACTAAAACCTCTCCAGCGCATCATCAAGGATCTACAACCTATCCTGAAGGACGATCCCTCACTCTCACAGATCTTGGGAGACAGGCCAGTCCTCGCTTAGAGACCGCCCCCCAACCTGAAGCAAATACTCACCAGCAACCACACACCACACAACAAAAACACTAACCCAGGAACCTATCCTTGCAACAAAGCTCGTTGCCAACTCTGTCCACATAAGCAGCACGATACGGATCCTGGACTTCAGGAAAGCAGACTTCGACTCCCTCAGGGAACGGATGGCCAGGATCCCCTGGGGGACTAACTTGAAGGGGAAAGGAGTCCAGGAGAGCTGGCTGTATTTCAAGGAATCCCTGTTGAGGTTACAGGGACAAACCATCCCGATGAGTCGAAAGAATAGTAAATATGGCAGGCGACCAGCTTGGCTTAATGGTGAAATCTTAGCGGATCTTAAACATAAAAAAGAAGCTTACAAGAAGTGGAAGGTTGGACATATGACCAGGGAAGAGTATAAAAATATTGCTCGGGCATGTAGGAATGTTATCAGGAGGGCCAAATCGCACCTGGAGCTGCAGCTAGCCAGAGATGTCAAGAGTAACAAGAAGGGTTTCTTCAGGTATGTTGGCAACAAGAAGAAAGCCAAGGAATGTGTGGGCCCCTTACTGAATGAGGGAGGCAAACTAGTGACAGAGGATGTGGAAAAAGCTAATGTACTCAATGCTTTTTTTGCCTCTGTTTTCACTAACAAGGTCAGCTCCCAGACTGCTACGCTGGGCATCACAAAATGGGGAAGAGATGGACAGCCCTCTGTGGAGATAGAGGTGGTTAGGGACTATTTAGAAAAGCTGGACGTGCACAAGTCCATGGGGCCGGACGAGTTGCATCCGAGAGTGCTGAAGGAACTGGCGGCTGTGATTGCAGAGCCATTGGCCATTATCTTTGAAAACTCGTGGCGAACCGGGGAAGTCCCGGATGACTGGAAAAAGGCTAATGTAGTGCCAATCTTTAAAAAAGGGAAGAAGGAGGATCCTGGGAACTACAGGCCAGTCAGCCTCACTTCAGTCCCTGGAAAAATCATGGAGCAGATCCTCAAAGAATCAATCCTGAAGCACTTGCATGAGAGGAAAGTGATCAGGAACAGTCAGCATGGATTCACCAAGGGAAGGTCATGCCTGACTAATCTAATCACCTTCTATGATGAGATTACTGGTTCTGTGGATGAAGGGAAAGCAGTGGATGTATTGTTTCTTGACTTTAGCAAAGCTTTTGACATGGTCTCCCACAGTATTCTTGTCAGCAAGTTAAGGAAGTATGGGCTGGATGAATGCACTACAAGGTGGGTAGAAAGCTGGCTAGATTGTCGGGCTCAACGGGTAGTTATCAATGGCTCCATGTCTAGTTGGCAGCCGGTATCAAGTGGAGTGCCCCAAGGGTCGGTCCTGGGGCCGGTTTTGTTCAATATCTTCATAAATGATCTGGAGGATGGTGTGGATTGCACTCTCAGCAAATTTGCGGATGATACTAAACTGGGAGGAGTGGTAGATACGCTGGAGGGGAGGGATAGGATACAGAAGGACCTAGACAAATTGGAGGATTGGGCCAAAAGAAATCTGATGAGGTTCAATAAGGATAAGTGCAGGGTCCTGCACTTAGGACGGAAGAACCCAATGCACAGCTACAGACTAGGGACCGAATGGCTAGGCAGCAGTTCTGCGGAAAAGGACCTAGGGGTGACAGTGGACGAGAAGCTGGATATGAGTCAGCAGTGTGCCCTTGTTGCCAAGAAGGCCAATGGCATTTTGGGATGTATAAGTAGGGGCATAGCGAGCAGATCGAGGGACGTGATCGTTCCCCTCTATTCGACATCTGGAGTACTGTGTCCAGTTTTGGGCCCCACACTTCAAGAAGGATGTGGATAAATTGGAGAGAGTCCAGCGAAGGGCAACAAAAATGATTAGGGGTCTTGAACACGTGAGTTATGAGGAGAGGCTGAGGGAGCTGGGATTGTTTAGCCTGCAGAAGAGAAGAATGAGGGGGGATTTGATAGCTGCTTTCAACTACCTGAAAGGGGGTTCCAAAGAGGATGGCTCTAGACTGTTCTCAATGGTAGCAGATGACAGAACGAGGAGTAATGGTCTCAAGTTGCAGTGGGGGAGGTTTAGATTGGATATTAGGAAAAACTTTTTCACTAAGAGGGTGGTGAAACACTGGAATGCGTTACCTAGGGAGGTGGTAGAATCTCCTTCCTTAGAGGTTTTTAAGGTCAGGCTTGACAAAGCCCTGGCTGGGATGATTTAACTGGGAATTGGTCCTGCTTCGAGCAGGGGGTTGGACTAGATGACCTTCTGGGGTCCCTTCCAACCCTTATATTCTATGATTCTATGACATATCTATTCAGGGGACACCATCATAGGGCCTAATCACATCAGCCAAACTATCAGAGGCTTGTTCACCTGCACATGTACCAATGGGATATATGCCATCATGTGCCAGCAATGCCCCTTTGCCACGTACATTGGCCAAACCGGACAGTCTCTACATAAAAGAATAAATGGACACAAATCAGACATCAAGAATCATAACACTCAAAAACCAGTGGGAGAACACTTCAATCTCCCTGGTCACTCGACTGCAGACCTAAAAGTCACAATATTACAACAAAAAACCTTCAAAAACAGACTCCAATGAGAGACTGCTGAATTGGAATTAAGTTGCAAACTGGACACCATCAAATTAGGCTTGAATAAAGACTGGGAGTGGATGGGTCATTACACAAAGTCAAACTATTTCCCCATGCTTATCCCTCCTTCCCCCCACACACAGTTACTCTCACCTTCTTGTCAACTGTTGGAAATAGGCCATTCTGATTATCACTATAAAAGGTTTTTTTCCTGCTGCTGGTAATAGCTCACCTTAATTGATCGCTCTCATTATAGTGTGTATGGCAACACCCATTTTTTCATGTGTTCTCTCTCTGTGTGTGTATATATAGAATCTTCCTACTGTGTTTTCCGCTGTATGCATCCGATTCAGTGGGTTTTAGCCCAGGAAAGCTTATGCTCAAATAGATGTGTTAGTCTCTAAGGTGCCACAAGTCCTCCTCCTTCTTTTCGCTGATACAGACTAACAGGGCTGCTCCTCTGAAGCCTGTCAGAAAAGCCAGTGGGATTGACACTGCAAGCCGAGTCTCCCTTTCTCCCCCCAGCGCAGCCACTCCTCGGAGACCCGCAGTCGCCAGGCCGTGCTCCAGGGGACCGGAGAGGAAGCTGGGCTAGGAGCTCCCCAGAGCCCCCGTGCGGACAAGCGGGAAGGCTGCGCGGTGCTCCTGCCCCGACCAGCTCACGGCCCAGACGGTCCTGCCAGCCCGGCCGCGGGCTGGGGCTCGACCCCCCTCCTCCCGCGGCTCCGCCGGACCCCACCCGGCCGGCCTCTGCGCGTGCCCGGCTCCCCCCGCCCCGCCCCGCCCCGCCGGGAGGCGGGTCACCCCTCTGCACGCAGGCTGGAGGGAAGCGGCCAACGGGGGATGGGGAGGATGGGGAGGGGCGGGGCGCCGCTGCCCGGCGACTCCAGGTAACTGGGCAGATGCGGGGGGGGGCAGGTGACTGCGTGGCTTCCCCGGGTCACTCACAGCTTCAGCTTCTCATAGGCCCCCGCCGTCGCCGCCATCGCCCCCCTCCGGCTGCCCCGCCGCTGCCGGCTCGGCTCCCTTCTACGTCCTGGACTCCCTCCTCTTTCTGACCCTGACGCGTCTCGGTCTTGAGGACGGGGCCTCGCACAGGACAAACGTAACCAAACACCTTGTAGCGGCCGGGCTCCAGACACGGAAGGGAATGACTGCCCCTGCCGTGATTGGCTGCGTCTCCGGCTCTGACCGCGCCCACTGAGCCACCTAGTGATCAGGCGACAGTGCAACTGTGAGGCTACCGCTAGGGTGGGGGAGAAGAGGGGCGTGAGACGCTCGACGAAACGGCTAGGGATTGGCCAAGCGTGTTGTTGTAGCTCCGCCCCCTAGGAACTAGTGAGGAGGAGAGGGGCCGGGCGATGGGCGGAGCTACAGACGGGCTTTGATTGGCTGCACTTCCCTCCATAGTCCCACCCATGGATCCGAACGCCCATCTGTTAGTGGATTGTGTGTGTAGGCGGGGTCGATGAGTAGTTACATAGTGAGTGCCAGACCTTTTACTCTCAGCAGGGCCAGTGGCGCAATGGATAACGCGTCTGACTACGGATCAGAAGATTCTAGGTTCGACTCCTGGCTGGCTCGGCTAATTATTTTTTTTTTCCCCTCCTGCCAAGGCACCCTCATTTTACTGTTCCTGCTTCCTGCAGTCACCTACAGCCCGATCACTCACCCCCATAGAGATATATGGAATACAGCACACCCCTTCCCCACTCACCTTGCTGTGACCCCCCTGAATCCCTCCCGACACCACTCACCTTCCATACACCCCCCTTTCTTTACTCGCTGTGCTGTGCGCCCCCTGTTCCCCCACACCACTCGCCTTCCCTACACCCCCATATCCCCTCACCTTCTGTACCCCCTTCCCACTCACCCTGCTGTACCCCCACACCACTCACCTTCCACACACACCCATACCCCCTTCCCCACTCCCCCTGCCAGGTCCCCCCACACCCGCTTCCCCTGCCGTACACCCCAACACCACTCACCTTCTGTACACCCCTTACCGCCCTCCCCTTTTCCCCCTGCCACACCCCCCCCCACTCACCCTGCCATACACCCCCAACTACTCCATCTACCCTCCGGCCCCTCATGCTGATGTGCTTATTCCCTCACCCCCCTGCACCATTATAACCCTATCCTTCAGACAGCCTCCCTGTACCTGTTCTCTGTGTGCCAGCATACCATCCCTCACGTGTTTGTGTGTCACACCTTCCCTGTGTCATTATAACCCCACTAGTGCTTATATGACCTTATGTCATGCCTGTGCCATTATCTGCCTCCATATTTTGTTATACCTCCCCATTCCCCCATTCCTGAGCCTGCGCCATTATACCTCCATATGATGATGCCACCTTTGGGTAGCTAGGAGCCCATCTGATTTTAAATCTTCTACTATCATTCTCCTCTCATGTGATATTACACCACCTCACTCCTGTGTGTGTCACTTGCCACACCCCTGACATTACTGCTCAAGAGCAGGTGAGGTAAGTCTTACCTCCACCTGCTCTGTCTCTCTAATATCTGGGGACCAACATGGCAACAGCAACCCTGCATATTACTGCTCAAGGGTATTCCATAGTGTGGAGGGGGAAGATGTGCAAATTACACAGACACTGGCTCCAGTAGCTTGCTCCTGTTTGCTTCGCAGATTTGGAAAGGGGCAGAGAATTTGATAGATCCCGACCTCAGGGCCCGCTTCCCCGACTCTTGATTTTGGCAAGTAGAATGGGGAAACAACCCCCAAAGCTGGCTGTTCCCCTCACAGATCCCTCTTGTTTGCTTTTCTTCACTCATCAGAGTGGAAAGCAATGGGGGGCTCTTAACAGGGGGTATCACAGGTAACTCCCATTTTATAACATTTGCAAGTGTGAGAGCCAAGCCGGAGACAACGCAAGAGCATCCAGGCCACACGATGCAGGGTGGTGTTTGATCACCTGAAGGAGCTGGAAAGGAATCTCCTCCTGCCACTACCAAGAAAGCCTTTGCACAAACACCCAGGTGCAGAAGCCTCAGGCACCGACCATCTCGGCGGGCAGGATTCCAGACTAGCTGACCCTGTTGTCTGATCTGCAACTGCCATGTAGCTTTCGTAAAAGGGCTTTCAAAATTAATTGGCTGGGGGAAGGGAACCTGAATGAAAGGTGCCACTACCAGTCAGAGCTATTGTCATTTGCTTTGAGAGCCATTTCCTCACTGCACACACCCGTGCGGAACCTGGCCGTCAAAGAATAAAGAATTAAGCATCACAATGATCTTTTGAGGTAGGGAAACACTGTCCGCATTTTGCAGATGGGGAAACTAGGAACTAGATTGGTCAATGGTCTGGTTTTCAGAGGTGCTGAGCACCTGCCACCCCTTCTGATATCAACAGCTTTGAAAAATCCCAGCACCCCACTGGAAACGCACGACAGAGCTGGGTCTCCAAGCTGACTTCTACTTCATGCCACCGCAACCTCCTTCCTAGCTGCCGACTTAAACTGGACTAGGGAGCCAGTCTCATTGCTTGGCAATATGTCAGCTCTTAACCTTTAAACTGGCTAATTGTTAGACGCTGTTCCTAGAGCTTTGTCGGGGTTGGCTAGGATGTTAGCAAGGGAGAGCTTGCCTGGAGTGAATGCCACCCTGCCCCCTTGCTGTCAGAAACCCCCACTGATTCCCCCCATAGACTCGCTGTGACGAGATTTCCCACTCTTGGCTCCTCCTAATCCAGCCACTGCGGTGGGGAAAACCGAGCGGGGGAGGGGATATTTGAGGTTGAGGAAGGAACATGAATGATGGAGTTCAGGAGGAAATGGGAATAGCCAGCCAGACAAGACCAAAGTGGTGGGGGGGGGGGGCAGAAAAGGGGGAGGTGTTTTCACAGGGTGGGGCGGTGTCAGACCAAGGGCTTGTGTATCTGGCAATTTAGTGCACGTCAAGCTGGGGTGTGAAACTACAGCCCACTAGCCTAGCAGCGTGGGTCCTGCTTGCTGCATGCTAAAAGTTCCCTGGTGCGCTTTGATCTACTGCACAGGGTTACACGCCAGCTTGCTGAACACTGACTTGCCGTATAGACAAGCAGTAGTGCAAGGAGGGAGATACCCTCCACTACCTAGTACCGGCAAGCTATTTTTAGTGGGCACCAGGTGCCAGAAAGACATGGGGCTACCCCCCCCCCCATTGGGGGGGCTGCGCTCTGCTCCACAGGGCTAGGGAGGGCATTTATTCTTTATATGGCTTTAACAGCACAATACATATGCTGAGAAACTTAAACAAAGCCTTTGTTTAAGTTTGTTAGCATGTGTATTGTGCTGTTAAGTTGGTCAGGAGTCCTGGGGCGGGGGTGGGGGGGTGGAGGGAGACACAGAAGATGTTTAAAAAGTGTTTTTGATTCTGTTTCTCCCCATTGGTCTGAATTATCTATGACATCCATACTGCATCACGTCAAGTCCAAATCATTAGAGGAATGCCTCTGCTTGCACTGACCAGAGGATGTTTGGATTCTGATGTCAGCCCATTTCTGCATCCTGACAGGAATCAAGTGTTGTCCACAGTGTACATAGAATTCTTCTTTGCAGCCAAACTAGTCTAATATGCATTTTGTTATCTGGAACTGGAGCAGCAAAACAAAGAAAACAAATGCCTCATTTTCCAGCTTTATGGGTGAGAGAACTATAAGTGAAGATTATAATGCCCCTGGACAGTGACAGCCTTAAATCAGCTGCTTCAGGAATCTGCCAAGAATTTTGCTGAAAATATATTCTTCATTTTAGCAACGGAGATAAGACTTATCACACATCTTCCCACCTTTATTCGAATGAAGCTCCTTCTGATCTGACAGCTCAGGCATTGTGAGTTTCATCCAGAACAATTTACAAACTTGGAACCTAATCCTGTAAACCCTTAATCATTTGATCAATCCCATTGAAGACAATGGGACTATTTGCATGCCTGTGGACCACTTTTGAGGTACAAGTTTCAGGAGTCTGTTTAGTTCCTATAAAGGAAGTTGAATCCCCCATTGAAATGCGATGTTTGGGTACAATACCATAAAGCATTTTAGGATACAGTGCTACTTAAAATTTGCCCACATATCTATTCAGGGGACACCATCACAGGGCCTAATAACATCAGCCACACTATCAGAGGCTCATTCACCTGCACATCCACCAATGTGATATATGCCATCATGTGCCAGCAATGCCCCTCTGCCATGTACATTGGTCAAACTGGACAGTCTCTACGTAAAAGAATAAATGGACACAAATCAGATGTCAAGAATTATAACATTCATAAACCAGTCGGAGAACACTTCAATCTCTCTGGTCACGCAATTACAGACATGAAGGTCGCTATCTTAAAACAAAAAAACTTCAAATCCAGACTCCAGCGAGAAACTGCTGAATTGGAATTCATTTGCAAATTGGATACTATTAATTTAGGCTTAAATAGAGACTGGGAGTGGCTAAGTCATTATGCAAGGTAGTCTATTTCCCCTTGTTTTTTCCTACCCCTCCCCCCGACCTTCTGGTTAAACTTGGATTTATGCTGGAAATGGCCCACCTTGATTATCATACACATTGTAAGGAGAGTGGTCAGTTTGGATGAGCTATTACCAGCAGGAGAGTGAGTTTGTGTGTGTATGGGGGGGGAGGGGTGTGAGAAAACCTGGATTTGTGCTGGAAATGGCCCACCTTGATTATCATGCACATTGTAGGGAGAGTGATCACTTTGGATGAACTATTACCAGCAGGAGAGTGAGTGTGTGTGTATGGGGGTGGGGGGTGAGAAAACCTGGATTTGTGCTGGAAATGGTCCACCTTGATTATCATTCACATTGTAAGGAGAGTGATCACTTTAGATAAGCTATTACCAGCAGGAGAGTGGGGTGGGAGAAGGTATTGTTTCATGGTCTCTGTGTATATAATGTCTTCTGCAGTTTCCACAGTATGCATCCAATGAAGTGAGCTGTAGCTCACGAAAGCTTATGCTCAAATAAATTGGTTAGTCTCTAAGGTGCCACAAGTACTCCTTTTCTTTTAATAAATCATACATATGCTGAAATGGCTCCTCACCCAACTCCCATATTCCATATAAACAGACTGAATACTAAATATTTTGGGGGAAGGTGAGTAGTTAATGTTTGTATATATAAACACCCATTTCATCACTGTACTGGAAAATATAGCTGAACTAA